ATAGACGAAAGTGTCAGTCTCAGCTGTGTTAAAGGCTTAAACAACAGTACCGATTTAGTTTTTCATCAAATACAAAATAACATGATGACATACAGTACTGACTGTTTGATACAATTAACTGATTGTTAGTACTTAACTACTCGTATCAATGCATCAGTAGTATATATATGGCGCGTCATGCATTTATACTTGCTTTTTGTTGGTTAGCATTCATGGTATCAAGTTAACGACATACTGTAATCAGGATTAATTCAGTTTCTGGAGGGAAAAATTCCCTTGAAATTTCACCTCGAACTGTATATATAATTTCAAAGAGTGAGAATTTGATAAAGTACCATCCGGATAAAGCAATTCCTGCTGATCACCATTCAGTGTAAAAATGATACATTTTTATATCTTCTATCTAGTACAGAGGTAATTCTTGATCGTTTCAATTGTGAATGACACCACTGTTGTATATGTCAACCCAAATGAGGTGTATAGCTTACTGCAGACTGGACATCCCAGTTTCACTTACCGAGTTGTAATTTTGCTCAGCCTACACTTCAACGCGAACAATTCAGCGGCATCATCAGCTCTCAACTAAAACCAGCATAGCTTATAGCCTGGCACATGAGTAAACTTATTCCGATTGGTTACAGGATTTTCATCATGAGCTAACATTAGTTAGAAAACCATTGGAAAACCCGGGAGTAATGGACAGCTGTTTCGTCCTAGTTTGGGACTCTTCATCAGTACGAACCTACCGGGATTCGAACCCAGGACCTTCTGGTTACAAGGCGAACTTGTATACCAATTATTCCGATTAATTGATTTAAAACAGTCTACAAGTCACAGGTATGTGTGAGGGCTGATGAAAATGACTGTTTTCCCAGGCTACAGTAGAGGTACACTGGCGAATGATGACTAAAATTTGAGTGCCTAAGCCAATCAATTACATCCTCGTGAGTTCAACCAACATTGAGTGATAACATCTAAAGCTGTTTAACCTACGAAATCAACAAGGATCGAAGCCTATAAAGGATAAGGATTATATAAACATAGTACGAAGTGACATAACCAAGTGTCGCTAAAATGTTATGATTTCAGCATCCTTTTAATTTCTTTCAATTAAATACCTTTCGCTAGTATAACGCGATGGTTGATAGGCGATATGAAAACATGCATACATCATAAACGTTATAACTACAGGCTGCCAACCTTGTCTAGATTGTCATAAAAATAATTTGTACCTTAGAAATACTGTTATTCTGCAACAACAAGAGACATACCTGCAGATCAATAATTGAAAATTAATCTAATGCTCACTAGTGACTGACTACAGGATAAAGTTGCCTAGAGTCCCAGTGGGATGAACCAAGCAAGTCAGGTATGAGGACAAATCCTCGACGATAACATGGACGACTATCGCATCCACGCACTATATATACATATATATATATCAAGTTGGCAGAATTCATGGGGTTATTGAACTGCATCTCAATGACTGAGTGGTCAAATGATTCACATCTCTGGCAGGATCATATGTATTTACTGTTGAGGAGTCCCGAAATAGGACAAAACCAATGTCCAATACTCCATGGTTTCTAATGATTCTTTAACTGAAGTCAAGTTTGAAACATAACTTGAAGACAATAGAATCCCTGTAAGCCAACACTTGAAAACATTTATAAAAAGGAAAAAGCGAAAACAGTCATGGGAACAAGAAATCAAGTGTTAAGTGTTTAGAAAAAAAGGAGCAGCTGCTTTAAACTATATATACTTACATTCCTTAGGTTGTTCCTTAGGGAGAAGAAGAGAATTATCGAACAGCAGATCTAAAACACAAAGAACAACGATTAGACTGGAAGCCGTCTAGTTGAAGATTACAAACACAACAGTCAGAAAAACGATAAACTCAAATATTGAAAAAAGGAGGCAGATTACAGATTTATTCGGTCGTCTAGCAAAAAACAAACTTTAAAAACCATAACCATTAAAGCTGAACAACGTTTAAAAAAAACTACAGATATTTGACCAGTTTCACCTGTCCTCGAGATGGAATAATACGTGCAACATAGAACCTGAGGAGGTTATGTTAGGCAATATGCATATGGACACACTGTTTACCCTTATACCACACACACAGTACGATACTAAAAAGATAATGGTGACCAAGTCGAAAAGTCACACTTATCCTTAGAATATCTTGGAATGTCTTGGGATGATTTAAGGTGAAAAGTCAGGCTTACAGTTGGTATTTAACACACAGCTAGAATCGTTGACTGAATTGTTCAACGTAGAACTTTGTAATGTTCAAGTTGTCACAGTTTGGAAAAACAAACACATACACACATAATAGATAAATATGATCAAACTGCAATAATGGAGGAAAATATACGGAAGAAGGTATGCTTTAAATAAAGATAAGTGGACATTTTCAAAACCTGTATCATAACAGGGAGTAAATGCATCTGTACTGTTTTGTAACGATTTTGAGTCATGCCCCTAACACAGTAAGTAACTATTGGTATTTAAGTGTCTTGATGACCGCATTCAGGTAGTCTACACCTCTCCACATAACTCAAACCAACAGTCAACAAGACTTTATGGATTGATGCCAGGTTTTGGTTTCACCACCCAACTCTCTCTCTCTTTTCCAACCTAATCGCATGTCAGTTAACATTACTCGATGATGAAAACGATCGATGGCTTGGTGTGAGTAACCACATTACACCAGTCAACAGGCGAAACAGAACGCAAACATCTGCTGTCAGAGACAGTTAACCTTTTCAAATCTTCCACTTCCAACGGCCATGTCTCATAACCATTAAAAAAGGACGGACAGAACTGCTGCGCAATACACATGTCCTTTGGTCGATATCACTTTTACGCTAGAGAGATGACGTCAATCGGTAAATATCACACGGGCCAAGTTAAACTTTAAGCATCACTAACTACCAATCAGTGAACGATGTCGAATTATCCAATGAGATTCACGAACGTAGTTCAATGTTGTATAGCGCTTGATTCATTTCAAATGCGTGCCCTTACAAGGTTACGTTTGCAATTCGAGGGGGATAGTGTATTCCCGTATTGCCTGGATTTAGGCTTGCTTCGAAAGGAGAGAACTTGTTCGTGTGGTGGTGTAATGTCTTTAAAAAGCTATACCAGATCAACTGATGGATTTGTCCATCGTTGTGCAATATACTTGAAGCGAGTTAACATTAGAGAGGGTAAGCTGATAATTTTAGTATTTCGTAGGAACTTTTTTGCAAGGTCACATCTCGCCTTGTTGCAAATTTCGTATATTTGCAACTACTGGGTATTGAAACAGCCAGTGAGAGCCGCAGCTGCGGAGACGGAGAATAGCCTCGTCTCAACAGTTCAATGGTACCAGCATTGCAGAGATATTGCTTTTTGGAAAATGGAGAAAATCAATTCTTTGTTGGGTGGAGAAGACGTTGTTGTGCACGTCGATGAGACTGTGTTGGTGAAGAAGAAATACAACCGTGGTCGCCAGCGAGCGAACAATATTTAGGTAATAGGTTTATACGACACCTCCCTGCGAAAAGGATTCGTGATTTCGTCGATCCCGTTACCAGGACGCATTCTAATTCCATTGAAGGATTTTGGGGCAGGTTAAAAAATAGAATAAGGGCTATAAATGGATCTCAAAAGGATCTCATTTATAGTCATTTAGATGAATATATGTACAGAATGTGGTGTAATTTTTCTATTGACCGTCTGATGCTAAACTGGGATATGTTTCTCTCACATGTTAGGGAAAGATATCACCCGTAACAGTATTATGCCTTTTTTTCTGCAAATATACGTTTCCATTTATCAGAAATGCCTCTTTAATGTGATTGGTCCGTTCAAGGTCGTTTGCTGATTGGTTGTTAGTGATGTGTTTAACTTTACCAAACTACTCAACCACTTGATCAGTCTCTATCTTCAAATTAGGAGCTGATTCAGACACCAGCATAATCTTACATTTGACAGGGGGGGTGAGTCGAACTTCAAACATCCAAAGATTCCTGCTCAAGGTGTTTAGATGACTCAACATTCTCACCTAGATGGACAATATTATATATGCATCCTGGTGACAAGTCAATCCTTATATCTCATGAGTAATATCAAAATATAGTATAGTATTATGTGTAAAAAAAGAGTAAATATTGACTAGTAAAGTATATACATACCGCCAAAGAATAATTTCAGTAATCTAGTAACATGTGAACGTTGGTTGGCGATTGCACAAACACGCAATTCAATTGCATACAAACGAAGTATCCAATTTTTACGATTCAACGATAAAGCTTCGAGTACTAGAGGGCAAAAGAGAGAAGAGAGAGAGAGAGTAGTTGTCGGTAATTACAATGAACAAATGGCTTTATACGAAATATTAAAAAAAGAACATAGGTAGGTGGTCAGAAAATATATACCAGCAGGGAATACACGACCAATCAGTGAAAATCATACAAATACGCATGAACCTACCTGCTTTCTGACGAGGTGTAAAGCTTTCACAAATATTTCCACTGTTACTTGAACTGAATGCTGAATGACAAACATCTGACTGTAGATATTTCCCAAGTAAATCATGATTACTTCGAAGAAAGCGTAAAAATGGTTCTGATGTCAGAGAATCAAAGGCTAATTTATACAGGATTTGCCAAATTAAAGCAGTAATCCAGTGTAATGTACAAGCAAATTCATACGGTAAACTTGATGTAGACTGTAACCAATGCGAGGTTGTATCTAACAAATCAAGCATACTATGCAAACATGTTCTTTGTTGATCAGCAATACCAGCATCCTGAAAGTTTTGTTTTAAAGATAACAAAAAACATTAAAAGAAAAATATGAGTTATTAGACTTACTTAATTGAAATTAATAATAATAATTTGCTTTATTCCAAAACAGTACTTGTGATACACAATGGAATTCTCAGCATTTTTACTACAGTATTGCATCCAGTTAGTACATTATCAATAAATAGAATTCTACATAGATTAAGGAAATCTCAGTTCATTATTACAACAACATATTGGGATGTCGGTAGCAAAGCCAAAATTGAATAGTGTTTGAAGGTGTTAGAAAAGTAGTTGCTATCATATTTACTGGAGTAAGCGATAGAAAGAAACAAAGTAGCACATAACGGAAAGAAAAAGGGAGAGAGAAAGGGAAATAAAAGAAAGAAAATGTTGTACCTGTAAATGATATGAGTTGGAAAGACGAGATCCAGTTGTTCCACTGACTATTTAATGAATTATAGGTGTCATGCCTAATGCTTTCTTTATCGCACAGAACACGAGCTAAGTAGGGTATGATTGAGTTTTTGTACTTGCTGGTGCGAGCATATAGTTTTCTATATAGGCTTCTGGTTTCGCCTGATGAGATGCAAGGGGAGAGTTGTGAGTGAAGAGGGTGGTGTGAGTTAGATAAAATAGATTTGGCCCATTTTTCACATGAGTCCATGTGCCTGTCAACCAGAATATTAACAAGCTGGTTAAGTGGCACGTTGCTTAAGTATTAATCAAGTATTCAAATGAAGATCAGAAACATGAGTTTAATAATGAAAAAAGGGAAAATCGAACCTCATCTACTTTCACCAAAGTAAGTGATCCCAGATAGAATCACATTAACAATTAGTGCCATGGAAATATTAAATGTAACTCATAGTATGCAAAAATATTTTTACTACTGGTTGACCGAGTCGATTCGCACTAGATGTTACAAGGCCAAAACTAATGTTCTCTTGCATCTGTGACATTCTTCACTGTGATTAGATAATGCAGTTACAACTGACTTCAGTTATGCGGAAGAAATTCTTCATGTGCTAGGCACGTATTATATATAGGAGGACTGACGATACTAGCCAGTTTCTCAAACTGAAGTAGGTGGAGTATAACTCGAATCCGGGACTCGTTTGCTCACAAACAGAGTAACTCAACCAATAAGGCGGATTGCTACCCTTATAACTGATCCCATACATAAATATCGTGAAGAAATGCTCTCATCGATCTCGTTATGGACATTATCCCTTCAAAAATCACACACACACAAGATCTACCTTAAATTGAAGTTCATTGGATAATTAAAAACTCCAATGACATATGGGGGTAAAACTAGTTCAGTAGGGGGATGATGGATCCGCAACTTCCATATACATACACAGTGACATGATGATATCCTACGCAACTACTAATACCTACTTTAAACTGTACAACTGGCTTGTATGATCAGCCCTCACAAAATAATTATGGTGCACTGGAGTAGATTATTACCCCTCCAGTTAACAATTGGGAGAGTTAACTTCATTCATTCAGATTCCTGGCGCTTCTGTGCCATATCTTCTCCATTTTCTTGAAATCTGACCAGCCTTCCTAGTCCCCAGTCACCATGTGAACATTCCTGATACTTATTTTCGGAGACTAAATTGCAACGCTACACATCGTCATTGAACAAAGCATATAACAAATATGAAGAAGGAAATTGAAATGGATTGGGTGCACGATGAGGAGACTGGTGCGTCGGTGGCACAGCGGTTAGGACCTTGCTTAGCCAGAAATGAAGCTGGTAAAGAGGAAAGGTTGGACATGAGGCTGGCTAGCAATCCCATCCTGTGAAAATAAACACTACTACAGAAGCTCCAAGCTCCTAGCTAGCTAGGCCATCGAGTGGAAACCTAGTGAGGAGTGGCAAGTCAGGCATGAGACCAAAGGTGACATGGAGGAGATCGTGTCAAGGGGGGAATGAAAGATTATCGGCAATTGTATAGCCAATTAGAAAAGACCGTACACAACAGGGTGAAGTGGAGTGGTGTACTGTTGAAGCCGTATGATCTACTCGGCACCCAAGGGAATAATAACTGAGTTCAGACCAGTCATCGATACAACTTCTAAAGTGCACACAGGCTAAATACTACAAAATGTTCAATTGCTCAGAGCTTTATAGCACATAGTTGATTATATGGTAAACAAGAGCAATGATTGTTTTAAACACACACGCACGCACACACACACACATACGAACTTAATTCTCAGATCAAATGAACTACATGGGAAGAATATACCGACCAATATTTAGTGAATGGCGGCTGCATGAGACTTTTGTACTAAGAATATACACGTTAGTTTAATTTCATGATTTAAAATTTAAAACTAGTGGTAATTTATCGCATCAATGTAAATATGCATTGTATGCTGATATATATAGACGAATATCCCGTTTTTATTCAGAACTGTGTTACTCGGAACGGAACAGATTTTCGATGTAAGAGGCTAGGAAACACGTATTGTGAGGGAGGTGGGGATGGTGTGAAGAATAGCCTGAAGCAGAATTGGATTCAATACCTTCAAAGCTGACAAAAAATAAACGACAAACTTGGACTTTAGATATCCTAGGAGCGAGAATGCATCGATGACTTTGGAACGAGCAACTGTTACCTACCTCAATCCTAACCCTAACCTAACCGAAAACTAACCACATATCCTGTTTTTTTTTCATATTTTCGATTATAGCTTGTTTACAAACCGTGTTTTTGGTACAGGTATGGAATTTTCAGCATGTGATATCCGTAGCCCAAATTTTGCAGGCCGACCATAGATATCAGGTGTGCGTCGGCAGGGGATCGAACCCCGGACCAAGTGCATGGTCAGCGAGAGTAATAACCACTGTGCCAACGACGCACCAGTCTCCTCATCGTGCACTCAATCCATTTCAATTTCCTTCTTCATATTTGTTATATGCTTTGTTCAATGACGATGTGTAGCGTTGCAATTTAGTCTCCGAAAATAAGTATCAGGAATGTTCACATGGTGACTGGGGACTAGGAAGGCTGGTCAGATTTCAAGAAAATGGAGAAGATATGGCACAGAAGCGCCAGGAATCTGAATGAATGAAGTTAACTCTCCCAATTGTTAACTGGAGGGGTAATAATCTACTCCAGTGCACCATAATCATTTTGCGAGGGCTGATCATACAACCCAGTTGTACAGTTTAAAGTAGGTATTAGTAGTTGCGTAGGATATCATCATGTCACTGTGTATGTATATGGAAGTTGCGGATCCATCATCCCCCTACTGAACTAGTTTTACCCCCATATGTCATTGGAGTTTTTAATTATCCAATGAACTTCAATTTAAGGTAGATCTTGTGTGTGTGTGATTTTTGAAGGGATAATGTCCATAACGAGATCGATGAGAGCATATCTTCACGGTATTTATGTGTGGGATCAGTTATAAGGGTAGCCATCCGCCTTATTGGTTGAGTTACTCTGTTCGCAACCGAACGAGTCCCGGATTCGAGTTCTACTCCACCTACTTCAGTTTGATGTCATTACACTCCACTCAACACTTTCGTCATGGATATAATGTTGTTCATCTGGTTTAACTACCTTGCACTGACTGAACGTTCCAACGTCATTAGCGAATTCGCGCCTATTGGGTGTGTTTAACGTTTAAATTAGCCAAATAAACGTTAGAATTTTCACTGATAAGTTTAGTAAAAGTATACAGTGCTGCGCTTATGGTGAACAATTCACTTGACATAACCTCCTCACAATCCATCAGTAGTGCATACACTGAAATAGGCCATAAGAGTATTTTACAACCTGAAATGGTTGCGGTTAGGACACTCGCCGACCATGCACATGGTCCGGGGTTCGATCACCGGCCGACGCACTCCTTTACCTCGCTAAGCCAGAAATAATGCTGGTGAAGAGGAAAGGTTGGGCATGAGGCTAGCAACCCCATCCTGTAAAATAAACACTGCTACAGAATCTTCAAGCCACTAGCTTGAAGCCCTATGTTCCACTGGGGAACGTGAAGGAAAAAAAAAACAACCTGAAATATATGTATGTCTGTGATAGCAATGTCAATTTTTGAAATTCTGAAAGATACTCAACTAGAAAGGAGTGGGTCATTAACTCAGATCACCTGCCGAAAGCAAGAGTTAAAGTGAGAGAAATATGTACAGGATGATGATAAAACACTATCTGAATACATACGTACCTGTAGATTTGAACGTGAAATAGCTTTACAACTATCAAAACGAAAACCACACAACCAATGTACAAGATTAGGCGCTGGATGATCCATGACTGCCAACAGAATTTGATGGAATGATATCGATATCGGTACTGAACTTGAATTACTTGTAATTTCTAGATTTATATAAACGAAATAAAAGGGTTTTTTGAAAGAACGTCAAAATATGTAGCATAGCATAACCAGACAACCCAATAGTGATAATACTTGATTACATTAATCGACAGAAGTAAAATGAAATGGGTGGGGACTGGCTGGGGAATTCAGAATGAGAACTTCGTCCTATTTTGAACTCATCATCTGGATGCACTTGCAGTCTCTAGTGATCAGTGGTGTTCCTACCGAGAATCGAATGTAAGACCCACCAAAGTATGTCATTCACTAGACCGCTTGGGTCACAAAATGATATGCACATTCTGGATCCCATTGCTGGTCATCACTATCATCCACCAAAGTAACTTCGTGTCAGTTCACAGACATTGTCGAAGCGTCCTTACCAAGAGTCAATGACGTGCCAATAGACATCGAACACTCAGGTCCAAAATAATCAATCCGTGGAGAATAGAAAATTAACTTGGAAAAAATTAAATCTGTCTATTTACAAGACAGGAAGAATGGGTTCATTGACAACAGTAATGAAATGAAAACGAAAGAAATGTTAGCTCGACAACCACTTGCAATTTCATGCAGTTGACAATCAGCCACACGCCTATTTCGCGACGGCTAGTAATACTACTTATATTTCCCAAACTTTGGTAGATGCAGTGAGGCTCGAATCCGTAACCTGTTTGTTGGAAATCGAACATTTAGATTAAATCAGCCACCGTGTTCCCAATAACAACATTTTGAAAGGAAACTGCAAAGTTAACAATTCAGATATGCTAAGTAGTTTAATTCATGAGCTCGCCTTTCTTTGATTAACACCACACATCTAATGCCGACACACCTTTCTTAGTGTATTTCTCCATCACACTCTAGCAATGACATTACGCCTTTAAGCTGTCGTGTCTTAAAACGGGTTGTTGGCTGGCTAGTAGACACGGCTTTGTTGGGTGTGACCGGACATTATTCAAAGGTCAAAGATGAATAAATGCTAAACGTTGAACGAGCTTTTCATCTTCACTAGCCAGCAATCCATTAAGACCTATGAAACATTCAAACTAAGTTAGGTGATCAAAATAATTCGTCATTGCACACAATAAAATTGGGAACTGATAACGACGAACAGTTCAATGGCACGATTCAATATCAAGCTTAACAAAGGCAAAATGCCTTTGAACTTTACGTCTAACTTTGAAACTACTCATATTGTCCCACACTGACTGGTAGATAACTACTGAATATGTCATCATCATTATCTTATATGGTAGGCAGTACAAGGCTGACGGTAACTACTGTCAAACAAACCTTTCGTACTATCATAACAACTTCAGATTACTGTTCAGGAAGACAAGGTTACTTTTCAACATTACCCCTCGCCCCCGCCTCCGATACAATGGGATAGAAAATACAAACGTCACAAAAAAATTGATGAAGGCAACACTACTCACGATAGAACCAATCCCCAAATGCCGTACTATAATAATCACTGCTAATCATTCGATTATGCGTAATGCGTATATCACTCCAATTAGAAAAGTATGTATACGGCATGTAACTTGTCCAACGTTCCCAGGCTTGATTAGGAAAATACCAATTGGTTGTTTGTATAGGGAAAGCAGCATCCAGCCGTGCGGCACAACTTGCTGGTGCAGGTAGGCGAGCTGAAAATGTGCCAACAGTGTGTAGTAATAAGGCTAATTCATTATCGCTGTCACCATATAACCATTCATCTGTAAAGGCAAAATGTCCATCATTGTCTAAATAATGCAGCATTGTAGATTGATCATCAAGCGAATGACTGAAGGTTGAATTAATTGTTGTATTATTTGTTGGCCATTGAATTAAATGCGCAAATGCTCCAAGTAACTGATTACGTGTTTTCTGTGTACATAAAATGCGCAAAACAAAGTAAAAAAAATATATGTTATTATATTATTAATGTTCCCTTAGATTCTTAATAGAACATAGGGCCCCACTTTGTCTCATTTCATGCGGTCCTATTTAGCAAGGGGGGGGGCACGGTTGCCCATATTCTCTGATCTTCTCCATGTCACTCGAAGCGATGACTCGCTCGTTGTTTTCCATTCCGGTGGTCTGGTTGGTGCGCGATGTCATTCGACGGTCTCCTCAGTGTCTGCTCAATCCATCTTCATTTTCTTGCTAAAGCATGTTTGTTGAGCAATAGGTTCTTGAAAAAAGACATTACTAAGAGTACTATTCTTTACAATTGGAAATATCCAAAGTGCAGCAAAACTTAATAAAGACAATAACATGCTTAACCACCTCGAGTATGGAAAATAATAATCCGGAAGAATAAAAAAATAAAAAACAAATATAATCGAAAGTTATAGAATGTTGTTTTGACAAAGTAAATACGCTAGTAAGTTATCACAGTTACAACGAGGATAAAAAATACATTATATTGTTACGAGTTTGATCACCGATTGATATCAATTAGAAAACCATTGAAAACTACCGACAAGTACTGGACAGCTGTTTCAGACTAGTTAGAGAGACTCACTGGTAGTAGACACCTACTGGATTTCGAACCCAGGACCTTTCGGTTATAAGGGAAGCTCATAGACCGTTCAATCACTAGGAACTGACTCAATGACCAGTCCATGAATTCTAACTTCTACCAATTCGTGACTTTAACGCAACCACCAGCCAATGTCATCTCAGTGATTAATTGTCCTTACTCCCGACCGACCGAGTGGTAGAAGTTAGAATTCATGGGCTACTGGCCAATGAGTCAGATTCCAGTAAGTAGCTGAATGGTCTACGAGCCACCCTTGTAACCGGAAGGTCTTGGGTTCGAAAGCCAGTGAGTGGGTGTGTAATACAGATGAGTCAAAAACTAGGCTGAAACAACTGCCTAGTACTCCCGGATTTTCCAATAGTTCTTCTCTAGAAGATACCAATCCGTGACAAAACTCGAAACAAATCTAATTCCTATAAACAAACTCTCCTGAACATTATATTATGATGAAGTCTTAACTATATCACCGACAATATATAACCGGATTTTCCAGTTGCCTTCCAAATGCCAACCAGATGATCTCAATTCTACGATACAGATTAGAAAAACAACTGTCCGAAATCTTCATCGACAACACATATATTCATTCTTTATAATCTGCCTTAGTCTTATTTTAGTTAAATATTTGACTTTGAGGTGAAACTAACTGTAGCCTGTCAGGTGAGAGAAATTTACAACTTTACTTACTAAAACTGACGTAATCGCCACCTATCTAAGCTACTATATACTTAGTGGCTAACAGCGGGTAATTGTAAGTGCTGTTGTTGATGTTTGAACTCAATTACCTGGAACAGGTATCGCATGCACCAACCAAGCTATAAAGCACGCCTAATATGTGTCAAGGTTGATCATACTACCCCCCCCCAGATGTCCACAAACTGAAGAAGGTGGAGTAGGATTGGAACGCGGGACCTCCTATAGTTGAAGGTCAAGTGCTTAAGCCACATCTCTACAACCAAAAATTGTGGTCAAATAGCAGGAGTCTTCTCAAAACTCTTCATAATTGAAAATAAAATGCACCAATACGTCGTAGTATACTCGATCCCATATGAGGACCAACAATATATCATTTGCACTATAAATAGTCTTAGCCTTAGTATAACAAAAGAAAAATTTAACAGAATTAAAATTAGATGAATACACTATACACTCACTTCATCAGATGTTAGTAAAGCCAATAAATCTGTATGCGGTTTAATAGAAGCTGCTAAATAGCCAAGAATATTGACAGCACAAGCTGTATGGTCTGGTAGGTAATCTGCCAGCAAACAGTATCTAAACACAAACGAAAATAAAGCAAAGTACATTTAAAAACCTTTCAATTAAAAGAAAAAATATATATAATGGTAACCCAGAGTGATAAAATCAGAGCACACCACCATTAATAAGAACAATATTGAGTGGAACTTAGTCAACAATGGTTGAAGGCTACTACTGATGAGACATGCCTAAAAGTCAATGACAACGGCGCAGATGTATTTACTCACAGTGTCACCTTTCAGATTCAGAGACTCTTTTCTAGTCCACATCTAATTATTTTCCCCTCTGTGTATGTAGATCCATCGTCTTTTCCTCTACTTTTATGTGTGCTGTGTGAAAAGTTCTGTGCGTTGTCCCTCCAGTGGTTGAGTGCTAGTCATCCAGTCGACGCGGAAGGTCTAGACGTAATTGCCGGCCGATGGACTTCCAAAGATCGTCTAGTTTACCAGGGACAGTAACAAACCCACAAAAGAGATGAGATCGAGCATGCTGCCCCACCAACACCATCGCTACTGAAACTTTAAAGTCTAATGCTATATGTTTCACGCACAGAAGGGATAGCAATTAGCACCCTACTCTAAGCCTTAACGAATAACTTCTAACCGCAACGCCAAACTCTCGCTTCTAATTCGAAAGGATAGTCATTTCGATGAATAACAGCATTCTTGTGGGAAACAAGAAATCAGTCGTACAAAACTTTAAAGAAAGGTAACACTTTTAATATTGCCTAATCAATTTGCAAATTGTCAATTTGGTCACCGGTTCGACGTTCAAGTAGTAGCTAGCCAAAAATCGGTTGGTTTGAACACTGAACTGAGTCAAACTGGGTACACCAGTGATGATGAGCTCGGCCCTAAACGAGCGAAAACGGCCGTCAATCTAGTTAGGAAGCACTAATGATTGACGTGAGTCGTATGCAGTTACTCATCTTAATCAATCAATCAGTAGTGTATAGTTCAATGCAAATTGTCAGACTTCTTTAAGCATCTTTTCAAGAATATACTGTAATTTCACCCATATAAACTTGATTGCCTCTGACTGACTCATTATAAGATTATTCTCTTGATAAATCACCATTTCCTCATCTGATTTAATATCATAAGTTGCACAATCCAATCTTCAAGTCTCTTAAAACTTGTGAATACCTCTCAGAAGGTGCACACAGTATAGAGATGTTCAAATGGTTAAAAAAATTAGCATAGGATTCAATGAGGTATTGTACACTAATTGATACTGTCTAAATAACTCAACTTCAACAGACAGACTGCAAGGTTTCATCAGTACCTGTCTTTGCTAAATACCGTATACCAATCAGATGACTAGAAAAAATAAGCAACAAGGAAGTTTGTCTGCAAACCAATCAATCGGTCACCAATCTATTTGTGACAACAGTAATGACGCCAATCTACTGCTGCAGACATTTAACTGATGCTATCCAGCAATAAAATTCACTCTTGAAATGAAAAACGAATCAAAAATTTCCTTTTTTTTTGATGTGGAACTAACAAGAAGAACTGATGGGACCTTAAGAAGATCGATTCATAGAAAAGCTACTTGGAATGGTCAACTAACAAGCTTCTATAGTTGGGTGCCCATTCAACAAAGCCCACCTTCAAAGTAATCTACAGAGTCACGAACAACCTACCAAAGGCAATACAACTTCGTCCTCTTTGTATCGCTGAAGCTCTGGCCATTCATTCACATAGAAAAACTGGAGCTGTGCATACAAAAGAGAATTAATCAACCACTTCTACTATCATAGTAACAACTTTGTTGATTTTTGATGACTTAATTTTGTTTGTTTGTCATAGAAAAATTTGAAAGTGGTGTCAGAGAACCTAGTGTAGTGAAAATGTGTCTCTGAGTTCCTGTGCTCCACTTGAAATACGAGGAGTGAGTAATGTGCGTCGGTGGCACAGCGGTTATGACTCTCGCCGATCATGCACATGGTCCGGGGTTCGATCACCTGCCGACGCACACCTGATATCTATGGTCGGCCTGCAAAAATTGGGCTACCGATATCACATGCTGAAAATTCCATACCTGTACCAAAAAATACGGTGTGGAATCAAGCTGTAATCAAAAATAAAAAATAAACATCTCCACATCAAATATTGAACACTGATAAGAAAGGACACTGTAAATAGCCGCACAGTTGACAACAGCAGTCACACACAGACTTGAGTAGTTAGTGTGGAGGCTAACAACTCTCAGTCGGGGCTACCGTAGGTAGAATGAGATCAAAACCTGTGGCTGTCTGTCTGTTTAAATGAACTAAAGCTCTACCAACCAACCCCCAGAAAGACACCCGTCTACTCCAAATACTAACAGCAATTTCCAAAAAAAGACACATGTACCATATCTTAGTTTGTCTCAACTCACTTTAACAACATTGGAATTAGATCTGCTTTACCAGATCCACTATTAGTTGACATAAGTAAACGTGAAACATACACAGGTAGAACAGTAAGACCAAATGATGGTAGATTTGGTAGAGGGATAGAAACATTAGAGGAAGCGATATGTCCAGAACCAATTCGAGGTCTAAATATCAAAAAACAAAAAATCAAAAATACAAAAATTAAAATTATCATTAAACAGAGGAAAAGGTCAATTGAAAGAAACCATATGCAATGCTCAACAAACAAATCAAAAACTTATTGCCAAGCAAATATACCGAAGGCAATGAAACGACACAACTTATGCTCCATTCGGAACGTAAAACACTGAAAAATGAATATGACGAAAAATTTAAAAGCGCTACCAAGCCTGTTATCGTAATAACTCACTGTATATTTGTTGCTATACGTCGAACAAATGTTACTAGAATATCTTCACTAGCCAGTAGTCGACGGATAAGACTTAAACCGGCGTATGTAGCACGTGTCATTCCAGCTGGTGGTCCATTCGGTAGAGGAAATTCAAGATGTCGATGTAAACCAACCTCTAGAAGACCAGTAACCTAAAATTTAAAAAGATATATATATAAATATACCACTGAAAAATTACGCAATCTTACGTGGCCCATAATAATAATAGCTTTATTCTGGACAGTGTTCATACAATGTAATGAATTTTCAGCGGTATTTATTGCAGAATATTTTTTACTCGTCCAAGATCTACAAATAAAATATAAATCGGCAGTAGATCGTGTGACTCAATGCTGTCTAACTGGAAGTGCAAACCAATCCCCTTATGATATCTCTTCTCTGTCTCCTTCAAGAAGTGCACGATATTTGGTTGAAAGGCAAAAAATAAAAAGTTCACGAATATATTTTGATATCCAAGGACATAACCCTAGAATAGAAGCCATCTCGTACATTGAGAAACACTGCCACCCATGATTGTGCCTTTTTCTCAAGTTTAGTAGAAACTTGAGAATCGGTAGGTTGCAGACATTTTAAATAGCCCCGAAAGTAGAAAATACCATTATTATTCCCTTCGGTTTCGTGTGGAACATAGGGCTTGAACAACACATCTCCACTTTCTTCTACTTTCTGCTGTCCTCTTCATCTGAGTCCACGACTGCCCATAATCTCTCATCTCCTCTTCCTCAAACGGTCTCCACCATGTCACCCTAGGACGACCAACTCTTTACTTCCCATTGGGATTCCACTCGACCGACGGCCTACATTGCGATGTCATTCGACGGCCCTCTCAATATATGCTCGATCCATTACCATCTTCTTCCACATGTGTGTTGAGCAATCGACTCTTGGTTAGTTTGTTGCCAGAGTTTCTTGTTGTTAATAATTTCTGGCCATTTGGTCAATGATGGCAACTGTTTCGTGACTCGCAGTGCAAGTTTCTGACTCCTATAGAAGAAATGACTGACTTCACATTGATGTTGAAAATCCGAATCTTGGTTCTGTATGCTGAATGAGTGCAGTGTAGAAGATTTCCAAACTGGTTTCAGGTTGATTTTTCGATTCTGACTGGCTTCGACATGTTCATCCGTTTCGACTGCCTGTGGTTGAAAGCGTGCTTCCTAGATAAGTGAAGGAAGTGACCTCTTTCAAATCTCTTCCGTCGATGGTGACTGGTGCAGAAAATACCATTAGAAGTCATATTTCAATATATTAATACGCAATGTAATAATAGAAGTTTTTAGTAGCCTAAATTTTAAACAGACCACAAGGAAGAAAGAAAGAGACTGGGTATACAAATAACAATTGAGTCATAAAAACATCACTGATATGAAGGTGTGTAATGGACCGTGTTTGAAGGTGAGATAAACATCTGAGTAGCGGCAGAATTCAAATCAGTCGTCTTCGAATTACTACTACTCTAGTGCTTCACCAGCTGAACTATGAGACTTTGGTTATATCATCAGTGGATTATGAATAATAACCGATGAGACAGGAAAGGTGAATAGTTGAATCCTTAGATCCAGAGACTGAAAGACAAATCCCCAAGAAAGAAACATCAGTCACATAACCACTTGTCACAACACAGTGACAGTTTATAACAACATGAAGGCAGATGAACTCGAAATGCATTCACCAAAAAGTTTTTTTGTCGCATATCATGCATGTCATATATTCATTCAGTAATGGGAAATGATACTAGACTTGTATCAGATTTATATTGCTAGAAGAGATACTTCAGGTATCAAGCTGGGAATCACAATTATTGTGCAAGGACTGAAACAGATACAGAATTATGCCAACCCGCTTACTCATTGGCTGAAAGCTGAGTGGGTTTTTTTAGGCAATGAGACATATCTCCCCGTTAAAATATGAATTGTACAGATTAAGTCACCACTTAAACTGTAATGAAATGGCCCAAGTCGAATTATTATTATTATTCAAACACAAACTTGGTGCATTATGATGAGCACCAAGAGATGCTCCACACAAAATCGCATACTTTGTACAAGAGCTGGGATACTATCTGGACGACCAGACTGAAACAATCGGTTGTAATAAAAAGGACCAACCCCCCTATTTCAGAGGCTTTAACTTAGAGTCTGATCCACAAAGCAGTGGAGCGCCGTCAGTCACTACGTTCCCATAACAGTCGGTGACCAAAACAAGGTTTATATATCATTAGATCTATTTGGATACTGGAGGATTCCTAGAGACTTTAGGTAGACCAGCATGTCCAAAAAATCCCATTGTAAACACCAGACGTTTGGATTCGCCCTTTTACTTTGTGAGGAACGCACCCGCCGCGTGAAGACGGACGGACGGACGGCTTTCGACATAGAACTTTGCACATATGTGCGGCAGTTCAAGTCGCCACAATCTATGTAGCACGCAAAGCAAGAGAAGGAAGTAGAAGAAATGCATAATATAGACAGTAAACAGAGGTGTGAGACAAAGGAATAGTAATAACGGAGAACAAAAGTTTAATTGGAAATCATAAGTCACAAGGAGTGGATGCATCTGCGCCACTGAGAACGATTTTGAGCCATGTCACCAATTGTTTCCAACTATTGATTTTTACCATCCCGAGGGCCCCAACCAGTCAGGAAGTCTACATCTTCCTACGTGACTTAGATTAACTGTTGTAGATTTCATTGATTGGTGCCATGTTTTGGTTTGACCGCCGCTAGCTAGCTCTTTTCCAGCCTGACCCTATATCAGCTAACATTGCCCATTGTCGAGGAAGGCGATCGATGACTAGGCATATGTAGCACATGTCCTAATCATCTCAGTCGAAGTAATTTCACAGTCTCGTCGATTGATTTCCCCGCCTTACCTAGCACTCGACGCCTAACCTCAATATTGCTCACCTTATTATACCACTTCACGCGGGAGATAGAACCCAGGCACCTATGATCGAAGACAGCTAATCTTTTCATGTCTTCTGCTCTCAATGGCCAGGTCTCACAGCCATAAAGGAGGACGGAGCGGACTGTTGAGCAGTACACACGCCCTTTGGTCGATAGTCGGATATCGCGTCTACGCCAGAGACGGCGAAAACTGGCGAATGCGAACCTAGCCCTCTGTATTCGTGCTGAGATTTCGTCGGAGATCAACCCGTTTGGGCTGATGGTACTTCCCAAGTAAGTGAAGCGGTCAACGTGTTCTACCACTTCACTTCCTATTTCTAATCTAGGGGTCGATGAAGTCCAATCCTGCAGCATCATCTTACATTTTATAGGGGCGAATCGCATGCCAAACATGCAGAGATTGTTGCTCAGGGTGTTCAGTAGACTCTGCATTTTGTCAGAGTCCTCGCCTAGAAGGACTATATCGTCCGCATATTCTAAGTCAACGAGATTCTTCCCTGGTAGCAAGTCAATCCCTGAGTCGCTGAAGTGAGTTAGGGTTAAGTCCATTAGTACATCTATGATGAAATTGAATAGGAATGGGGATAATGGGCATCCTTGACGGACGCCACTAGTCGTCA